AACGTAATCGATGTCACTGAACTGTGCATGTAGAAATTTTTGAAATGGTGTATCTTTGGCTATGTATATTTTCACCAAAAAAAAAAGGTCGAGAAGGGAGAGGGTTGCCATGTAGTGGGGATGTTAACCAATGTCATAAAACAATATGTTTACTGACTGTTTAATGAGAAACTATTTGTTCTGTAAATCTTCACCTAAAGTACAATTAAAAAAAAAAATGTGAAAGAAAAAAAAAAAAGATTGTTTTTTTTCTGTGTATAAACCTAGTCTTGAGTTGGGTCTGTTTATTAGTACCTTCACTACTGATTAGCTGTGACCTTGGGCAAGTTATTTAACCGCTTTGTGCTTCAGTTTCCACATTCATTCATTCCAACATATATTTCCACAGTGCCTTCTATGTGCCAGACATTGTTATAGGTGTTAGAGATTCATCAATGAACCAGACAAAATCCACTGAGCTTACATTCTAGTAAGAGAGAAAACAGCACCATCTTCACGGTGTCTTGTAACGTTTAAATGGAATATACAACATGGAAGGGTTCACACTATAGCAAGCACTCAAATATTGGCTGTTATTACATTTCATTTTTTTCCTTATACAATTTAGGGACTATTCCCTGATGCTCTTTTTAACAAGTTCCCCACTGGATATGCCTATGTCAATCCCTCCGCCCTCTGGGAGCTCGGCAGGACCTAAGGTAGCTAGAGATACTTCCATCCCAGTCACTGTGTGCCATAAAAAACGTTATTACACTCTGTGTGTGTTCTCTTCTAAGAAGGGTTGTGAAGCATTGCCAGTATCAATTTCCTTGCCCTACTGTCTTGACACTGTACATCTATGGTAGACACTATTCTTGGATCAACCCAATCATCTTTTTTGTGCCCATACCTAACCACTGCAAAAGAAAAAAGTCATACAAACCCAAAGATTTGTACCACTATACATTCAAGGTCACTGAAGTCAAATGCTCCTTCATCACTGTCAGAAAACTCCTTTACTACCAGCTCTCTCTCTCATTTTCTTAATTGCTTCTTCAAACTTTCCTACTTCTCTCAAGTCTTTGACTCCTTCAGACCTCAACTTAGATGTCTCTTCCTTTGAGAAGCTACACCTAAACCCCAAAGCCTATGTTACTTGTCCCTTTGACGGTTTCCTACATACCCTGCACTTATAGTATATCCATTAAGTTATTGCCTATATATCTGTCTGTACCTCCACTAAACAGCAAGCTCTAAAATGGTAGGGGCCATGTCATCTTTCTAAGAGATTTCAGAACATATTTTTTAGATTTTTACACATTTTCCTCCCTTCCAACTGATGGAAGGGAGTTCACTTACCACCTGAAATGCATGTGACAGAAGACCAAAAAAGATTAAACTGTTTTTGGAAGGCTACCTGGCTTTAAAATACAAAAGAAACACTTGGACATATTCCACTCTTAAATGTATGAGCACGTTATTCTAGCATCAAGAAGTAGTGTTTAGAGGTCAACTAAAGTTCATTCGAGATTAAAAGCAAAATATGGAATAGTTTAACAGCTAAAACGTATACAAGCTATTATATACCCAAAACAAAATTAAAATAAATTCAGTCTTCATTTCTTAATACTATATACATTTTGTGGAACGGAAAAGTAAGCTCTTTTTCCTTTCACAGACATTACAACAAACACAGATTAGACATAAACATAAGGCAAAATTTATCATACCTCCACATCTAAAACACTTCGGGGCTGAGCTTGGCATAGCATATTCAATAATTGCAAAATTAATTCTTCAACATACTGAAGGGCATCATCATTAGACTCAAGTGTAGGATGAACTTGCCCTTGGACCTATAAACAAAAGACAAAGTAATTAAAATGTGGGTTTATTTTACTTCAATTAAACAAAATTTTTTTAAATGTAGGTTTGTACTCAAGAACATGGTATGGCCCGCAAAAACAGATTTAAAAGTTATTGACTCGGAAGTCAGGAATTCCCAACCTTTTTTCCCAGTCACACGCACTATATCTGTTTATAACATGCTCCTAGAGATGGAGATACTTAACTGCATAATCCTAGTATTTTATTTTCTTAAACCATGGTTACCCTGAGGTGGAGGAATGGGGAGAGTGAGAGGCTGAGGTGGGAATAAAAGATGCCGTTTACATCATTTTCACCAGGAACTAGTAGTAGTTAGAACATTTATTCGACATACTGCTTAGGCAAAAATGACCTCCTATGGAGTTCTCTGCTCTTTGTTTAACTCTGTATTTCCTACTAAATGATAAAATCCAAGCCAGACATGTCTCATCATGTTCATCTGGTACCATGCAGGGCACAGAGCACAAGCTTGAAAATATTTGTTGAATACACAGTCACCCTGTATCAACGGACACAAAATGGGCATTTTGACAATATGTGAAAATTTGTCGTCACTCATCAGTGACTCCTAATAATCTTTCCTTTCCTTCTTGACCATTTCTTTGAAGGCACCTCAGGCCACTGGCCTTTGTAAAACTTGCATTTTAATAACCAGAATAATAGCCTTTACTTGCATGCCTTTGTCATTCATTATAGATTAAAACTGTTCCCCACTAATAAACAGCAGAAGAGCAGCTCCAGGTGATAAGCAACACGTTTCAAAACATGCTCAACTCTAGAAAGTGTGGCAAGCACTCACTGGATGGAAGTGCACAGGGCTCACCTACCAAGAACATTCAGTACGTCTGCCCTACTACATACACACCTCATTAGCTGAGAGGGCACAAGAGCTTCAGTGCAGGGTGAAATTTCTATAAACAGTGTACTATATAATGAAATTTTTTAAAAGAAAACATTTTAGAGGCAAATAGCACTGTAACAATTCAGAGCTGTGTGAGGAGGTACTAGATAAAGTATGGGTTTTTAAACAATTTATAATTTTACAGGTGAAAAAACTGAGCCCCAGAAGGCTTAAATCATTTGTCAAGCACTTCTGATCAATATTTGGTGCAGCAATTACCAACCTGATTGTAATGTATCTGTTTACAAATCTCTTCACCTGATTAGATGACTGAATGGTTGTGCAGTTAAAATAATGGACAGTGTGTGGACTAGAACCCAGAATTAATGATTCCAAATTCAGTGCTTTCCATTCACTATGCCATCATACTATGACTAATGCAATGTAGGTAATGGACCTTGTAAACTTAGTCCTTTCTCGACACTTAGCATGATTAAAGCATCTTTTTTTTTTTACTGGAACTTGACGGAAGTTTTATTTCTGCACACTGAATTGCATGCCTCCATTGGTTTAAACAGTCTTCTCAGACACCGACCCTTTTATCTTCATGGCTGACTGATCTTCATTTAGCAATGAATCATAACACCACATGGTGGGTTGTTTCTATCTGGCTCTCAGTCAAGTCACCCTTTGTTTTCTGAAACTCTCTTTTCTTAATATCAGTGACACAATCTATTCTACTTCTTCTCTTACTTTGTTGCTCCTTTTCCATTTCCTTGTAGAGCTCTATGTCCTCCTCCATCGTTCAAATGTGGATTCTATCCTTGTCTGTCTGCTCCTTTCTGTTTTCCCCACGTAATCACATTTACTCTCACATTTTGAACTATCATCTACGTAGATGACTCCAAATCTATCTCTAGTTTGGATTTCTCTTCTGAGTTTTAGACCCATACTTCAAACTACCTGGTAGATACCTCCACCTGACTATCCTACCAACATCTCAAATTTAACATAAAATGGTGCTTATTGTAAAAGTTGAATAAGAAAAATTTTATCTCACATAGAAGGTACTTAGTATTTTTTAAATGTATATATTTATTTTAGAAAAACACAGTATAAACAGTCCCTGGTTTCACTAAGATGCAGTCCTGGAAAAAATGTAGCTATAATTGGGGGTTACATTTCTGTCCAAGACCCCAGCATCACATAAACTTACAGCTACAGACTCATAAAACCACATAATTTTATGATTAAAAGGGACTTTAAAGGTTATTTAATTCAATCCCTCTATTTAGCAGATGAGAAAAGGAAGACTTCCACATTCATGGAGATAACTAGTAATACTCTTAAGTATTAGAACCCGGGCCTCCTGGTATCTTGGCCAGAGCTCTTTCCACCAAACCACTGACTGTCAAACCTGAAGAACCTAGGGAGTGCCCCAGTCCCATCAGGTAGGGAGTGGGTACCCAAAGGAAAACCTGAAGTTATGTTTTCATATTTCAATAAGCATCAGCCTGTCATAAATGTAAGCACAGCATTTACACTATAAATCTTCATAATCTGGAAAAGTTAAATCATTAACCCATTCCAATAGGTAAAATAATTATAGATCACATGAATGATCTTACTGTATTATAAACCACCGTATTTTTATGCAAATAACACACACGTTCTACGTTTTTTTGCCAATTGCTCCCTCCTCCAGCCCTGCCAGGCATTTTCTTAAGCGCTGATATGCCAATTTTTTTTACATGTTGCTGTAAAAAAAAAATTAGCATAGTGTGCTTAAGAAAATACCTGGGGGCGGGGGAGCAGTTGGCAAACAAACATAGAAGGCGTGCGTTATTTGTGTAAAAATACAGTATATAAAATTATAACTATACTAAAAATCTGACATAAAACTAAAATGCTAGCAATAATAAATATTAAAATAAAATATTTAACCAATAACAATTTTAATCGCCCTTTAAAAATACCAAAGCACTTTGAGGAGGTGGTTTAGGTGCCCTGAAGTTTTTCGTAAGCATTCAGGGAAATGTAAACTGATGCCTCTCAAGTTATTTACGTATTTTTTTAAATAACGTTCACTGTTTTCAAAGAAACCTATGGAAGCAACCTAATTCTTCACTAACATAACCCCATCTCCAGATGTTCTTCCCTTTACACTTTATGCAGAAGTAATCCAAAACTGTTTTCAGTTTGCTGAAACATGGCATGCAGTCTCGCTCACACTGTTCTCCATGCTTGGCATTCACTCTCTTACCCTTTCATCCACCTAGTCAACTTTCAAAACTCAAATCTCATGTCATTTGGAAAGACTTTGTCTCTTTGTAAGGCAGAATTAATCCCCTTCATTTAACTTATTTATTGACTCTATTAAATACCAGACCCTCTGTTAGATACTGGATATACGGAGATAAATCAAACATAGTCCTTGCTCTTGTGGGCCTTATACTCTGCCTTCTGCTAATCCCTGTACTAGGTACCACACACTTCTGTTATCACGTTTGTCACATGGAATTACAATTGTTTGTTCCCATGCCTAGTTCCTCTATTAGACAGTGATGTTTCTATTTATAGAATCATTTTCTCTTTGCTTTTCACTGCAAACCCCTGACATTTAAGGGATACTCAAAGCCTTTGTGTTGTAGGGGTAAGGGGGAGAAATTAAATCTTTTCTTTGAATTAAGATTGAAAAGGGGTGATGGTAAGGCTAGAGAGTCTATTTGGTTGATTTCAGGAACATTAGCCCTTAAAGTAGAAAGCACTCAACATATAAAGGCAGTTAGAACTAAAATAGATGCTTATTACGTACAATCAAATGAATTGTATATAACCACTGCAGTGAAATGCTACGGTAAAAACAAAACAAAACAAAACAAAAGAACACCCAACTAGATACTGCTTATTATTCAGGCACGTATATTTAAAATGTTGATTACATTCAGCACCTAGAAAGATCTATAAATTTTCAGAAATACATATTCAAATAGTTTTATTCATGGCTGGTTTCTACTAAGCTTCTGGATATTAACCTTTATCACATCTTGAACCTGTCAAATCAGGATCACAAAGTTCAGTCATACAAGAGACCAATTATTTTACTTCCTTCAAAACAAAAACAATACTTCAAAACTTCAGACTAGAAAACCTGGGCAATGGTCCATTTTTAAAAGGCAAGCAGAGTCCCACTTCCTAAAAATACACAGACTTTGCTCTTTATTCTTTCAAGGAAGATGCTGTTAAGAGATTTCTTTAAGGAGCAGACAGAAGTAGTATTATATTTCATATACAGACCGAATAAAAAGCACTTCTCTTCTATGAGATACTGTTACAGTGAAGTGTTCCACTGCATCACAAATGGTACTCAAAGACATTTAATAAATCAATTCATCCAAATTATTCAAGACTATACAGAATAGGTGACACAGCCAAATCTCATGTCAGCCTTCAGAAGCCATACACAACTGATATTTACTGAGTAGAGGTGTATGTATTTATGAGCAATTATAATAAGTACTTGGAAGAAGTTGGTGTAAACTAGATGTGGGGTGTCCGCTATATGCAGTTTTCAAAAACATTACATTTTATATTTATGTTTACTGACAAAGAAAAAATTTCACATACTTCTCTAAATGCAATTCTTTTAAGTAATTCAAATAAATATTTCACAAAAGAATTAATGATATCCTTGAATAAGAATTTTACCATGACAATAATTCTTCTTTCATGGTATAATCACCATATTGAATTAAAGATGCCACCCACTGAATTTTAAAACTTCCTTAAGGTCTACCTGCTTCTACCCTGACAGTTCATTTTGTCTCTAGTTATTTTTAATAGGTTCTGAAGCAGATTTGTTACTACTATTGCCAGATTTTGTGGAATCTGAAAAAGCAAAAGGATTAGGTCTACATCAGTTCATAGCTGTCTGATATTGAGTCTTCTAAACTATTCAGGAATCCCTTGGGTAAGCTGTGAAAAACACTATGTTGAATTCTGATGAATCTTTAATAGCCTTCTCTAGCTAATGGCTCTCTGAAGAATTTGAAAGGCTACTACTGAATTCTGTAGTATCTAGAGTCCAGATCTGCTACTTTTATTTATAAATATAAAGGGAGGATTTGA